GATCCAGAACTGCGGTAGGTCCGCACACACGAGCAAAGTCTCTACATCTACCCACCTATGAGTGTCTGGTGGGGAGTGCAATTCTATTATTTGTGCGAGCTGGGCTGAAAGGTAGTAAAGGTAGAGATTAGGGAGTCCCAGTCCCCCTCTACTCTTGGGAGTGTAAAGGGTCTGTCTCGCCACTCTGTGCCTCTTTCGGGCCCAAATTAAGTCGTCTATTGTGGTTTGTAGCATCTTTAAGTCACCTTTAGTTACTTTTATTGGCAATGCTTGGAACAGGAAGAGGAGGCGTGGGAGAAGATTCATTTTGATGCTATGTAGTCTTCCTATCCATGAGATTGGTTTCTCGTGCCATTTGTCTAGGTCTTTTATGAGGGTATTTATAATGCGTTGGTAGTTTTCAGTGTATAAGTCGTCTGGGTTGGCGGTCAGCTTGACGCCGAAATATTTGATGGGCCTTTGGCTTATGGTTAAGTGAGTCGTCTGTTTTAGCCATGTAATATCGGCTTCATTCATCTCCATAGGCATGCCCACCGACTTGTCTACATTAATTTTGTAGCCCGAGACCTGGTTGTAAGTTTCTAGTAAAGTAAGGAGATTCGGAATTGAGCATGTGGGGTTAGTGAGAGTGAGTGGTATATCATCTGCGTAAGCAGAGACTTTAAAGTCTTCTGATGCTATCTGTATTCCTGTTATTTGTGGGTGGGATCTTATTGAGTATAGCAACGGTTCTAGGGCCAATATGAATAATAAAGGTGATAATGGATAGCCCTGCCGTGTTCCGTTCGTGAGATTAAAGGGGTGTGGCTGAGTACCCTGCACCACAGTCTGTGCTCTGGGGTTGTGGTAGAGGGCTTTAACTGCTGTTATGTAGAAGTCTGGTATCTGTAATTTCCGTAGTAGGGCAAACATGTAGTCCCATTGGATCCTATCGAACGCCTTCTCCGTGTCCAAGGAGAGGATCAGGGAAGGCGTTCGGGATTTTCTGGCCCACCACATGAGGTCCACCTCCCTTCTTGTGTTTTCGTATAGTTGTCTGTTGGGCACAAAGCCTACTTGGTCTGCGTGGATGTATTTCATCAGGAGGGGGTTTAGTCTGTTCGCTAGAACTTTAGCATATACCTTAATGTCGAAGTTTACTAGTGAGATGAGGCAGTAATTAGTAACTCGTGCAGGGTCTCTGTTTGGTTTCGGGATAAGTGTGATGTTTGCGGTTGTGAGGTCTGGGTGGGGCCTCTCCTGTTGTCCAGTATATATACATCTTAAGCAAGTGGGGTGTCAGTTCTTCTTTGTAAGTTTTGTAGTATACCCCATCAAAACCGTCGGGACCTGAAGCCTTATTTCCTTTTAGTCCTGCTATTGCTCTATCTATCTCCTCTGTGTCTATCGGGGCTCTCAGAGGCGCCACTAAGTCTGCCTTAAGATGTGAGAGTTGGATTTGGATGTCTAGAAATGCTGTTACTGCCGCGGTGTATGCCTGGTTGTCCTGTGTTAGAGTAGGGGAGTGATTGTACACAGCCGTGAAGAATCTTGTAAATTCTTCGTTTATGTCTGTCGGATTTGTGAGGGTGTGTCCCTGTTCGTTTCTAATGGCGTTTATCATAGGGGCGCTGGTTTTGGGTCTGAGGGCTGTTGCAAGCAGTGAGTCCATTTTATTAGACTTTTCGTAGAAAAGTCTTTTTGTTCTCACGAGTTCCTTCCCTATGTCGTTTAACATTAGTTCTTTAACATTAGTCGTCTGAGTTCCATTAGTTCCCTTGTCGTGGTCTGGGTGACCATATGTCGTAGCTCTGTTTTGCACAATTGTTTTTGTAGGTCTGTGAGTCTCTCATATTTTTGTTGTTTTCTTCGGGTCGCTATCTGTATTAGGAGTCCGTTCTGTGGGCCGCCCAGAGGGTCGTTGGGTATATGTCTGTCGTGTCATTGGTCTGGAAGTAGTGTTCAATTTCTTTTTGGATGTCTTCCTTTATTTGCGGGTCCCTAAGGAGGGAAGTGTTCAGTCTCCACCTCCAGGGTGTGTGGCTACTGGGTGTTTTTAAGGTGATCGCAATGTCTGCGTGGTCCGACCAGGATATTGTGTTAATCACTGAGGTTCTTATCCATTGCATGCCTATTTTGTTGGTGAGGAAGAGGTGTATGCGTGAGTAGGTTTTATGTGCCGCTGAGAAGAGTGTATAGTCCCTCTCTCCCAGGTGTTGGAGTCTCCATGGATCCAATAGGCCCGTGTTTTTTATAAAGTTGTGGAGGAGTTTGTCTTGCCCTCCTCTGTTGTGAGATTGAGGCAGGTGTTGTACTCCACTACGGTCAGATGCTGGGCAGGGTGTGGCGTTTAGGTCTCCCCTAGTATAAGGAGTCCTTTCAGGGGGGTCCTAATCAAAATTTCTAAATCTGCCCAGAACTGCAGGGAAGGGATATTCGGGCTATATACATTGATGAAGTCATATGTGCTGTTGTACATCATGCCCAAGAGTACCACGTACTGGCCCTCTGTGTCTGTTTGTACCCCGTTACCTGTATGGGGCATCTTTTGTGTACAAGTATTTCTACCCCGTTTTTTTTTTTTGTAGATTGCCATGGAGGTGTAAGTTCTCTTGTAAATGTGGTTTGTTAGTTGTATATTAGAGGAGCGTGGTATGTGGGACTCCTGGATGAATGCTATATCAGCCTTTTGTCTATGAATTTCCCGTAGAAGTAGTCTACGCTTGTTAGAGGTGTTCAGTCCATTGACGTTCAGTGAGGTCAGTAAAAGGTCCATGTCTTGTTTGTGTGTATTGTGTGTTTGTACTCACACCGTGCTCGCATGTCTTGTAATAGGCCAGCGTTGTGTCCTCTGGTGATTTAGGTCGCTGCGCTCCTTTCGGTACAACCGCTCCTCCGGAGGGTGGGGGTAAAAAAGGGGGGGGAGAGAAAGGTGGGGGTAAAGATAGGGGTGTAGAGAAAGGTGTAGAGAAAAAGTGAAAGAGATAGGATAGTAGGCTTAAGTCGTCCACTACCTGAGAGAAAACAATATAAAAAATGTACAATTTTAATACGGTGCAGGTTAAGAAATCAATCATAACAATTCTTGGTCTTACCAGTTGCCAGGAGCTATGGGGGTGTGCGTCCACAACGCTGAAGGGGTCACCTTGTGCGTGGTGGAGGCTGCGATTTCCAGCACCCTGTCGAGACCCGTAGTGAGTTAAATCCAACTGGTACTATAATTATCCTGATCCATGGGGGTCAAGTGGAGGGGTGGTAGGTCGAGTGGGGCATAGTATTCGTCTCATGTGGGGTTTCATGGTATCGTATTTTTAAATCCTCGGGCTTGGGGTTATGGGAGTTTGTGACAGGTTCTTATGTTGCACTCTGGCTTAGCCTTTTGTCTAAGGGCCTAGTGCCCTAGCTAACAGGCCAGTGGTTGCAGTGCCTGGAAATTTCTGGTGGGGTTTGTATGAGGTTTGCTAGCACTGAGGGGGGGGAGGTTGGCGAGACGTTCGGGATATTGATGGTAGATTACCTACTGGTACCGTCTTGTCCGTCCCTTCCAGTGTCTAATTCTAGGGCATCTACGCTCCCGTCCATCCCCTTTATGCCCCTGTTAGGTACTCTTACATATTAGTGCCATGTACATTTTTTTCCCCTCTCCTTTTTGGGGGGGCACCCCTAAACATCCTCTGCATCATATTCCCCACTCTAGGTACGCACCCACACCGCCCAATCATATGCAACAAACAGAAGTTGGTCAAAAATGGAGGCAACACTATGCATGAGTCTCAAGCGGGAAAAGTGCAACCAAGTGTGGCTAGCGCAGGTAAAGCAACAGGCAACGAGCACCGGTGCACATCCCCACTTTCTGTCCCACCCCATCTCCCCCCCTTCGCCAATACTAGGTCGTG